ACACACACACACACACACACACACACACACAAACACACCTCTATAAAATGTCTTATACACAAATCAGTATCTTTAAAATCACACATTTGCAATACTTGATACATATACCCACACAATTGCACTGATAAAGGAAAAAATGGGAGAAGTCCACGAAGGATGTCAAAAATAAAATATTTGAAAGATAAAGAATAATGACGGAAAAAGCTCGCGATATTTGCCACAATTGCAATTTCTAAAGCAATACGTTAACTGAGACATCCAGAAACAAATTAGTGCAAATAATCTTCACTTTTCCATATTTCCCGAAGTTAGAACATATCCAAATGTGTCATAATTTAGTCGAAACGTTGTCACTTCCCCAAACTATCAAGTTTATAGATCGTAAGCCTAATATCCTAAGCCAGTTCTAATCACCTTAAGATAACAACCTTATCTGTGGTGCTCAAGTATCATCCTCAAATGCAAAACAAATTCGACAGCAAATGAATTATTTCAGTTTAGAACTTTAAACCCCTAATTCCAAACATTCAAACTAAATTTAGACTGCTCATGCAATCCTGTCAAAACGTTCTGGTCAAATGTTTCATACTATAGCTTTCTTTTTTTTCCCAATCTCATGTTCCACAAAAGTTTCAAGAAAGAGCAAAAAAAAAGAAAAATCTTCAAACATGTGCAAGAGAATAAAATGAAACTTGGAACTTTCGATTCAAAGTGACAAAATGATCTACAGCTGATACGCAAAAGAAGCATTGAAACAAAAAACCAGTTGATTCATTTTAGGAAAAATATGAAAGCATTCAGGTATCATTAAAAAAATATCAACTTATCAGAGCATCACATTACGCAAATTTCGTTTTAGAAATTGCGACAAATTTCAGCTAGAGTGAGATTTTAGTATGGTGCAAAACGATTCAGCGTGCGATACGTAGCCGCTGCCACAGCGGGATAGCCTGGCAATGCTGCTGTTAATGCTTGACCGAGATACTGTTCACCAATGGACGTAGTACCAGCTGTACTTGCCGCAGCATTACGCGCTGCTGCTGCTGCTGCTGCCACCATTAAAGCCGGGTTTGCTGTTTGAAAAAGACGGGTAAAAATTTACAAACAAATAAATTTACATAGTCAAATCAGTAATCAAAAAACAGACGGAGAAAATTAGGAGTGATGAGATTTGCATAAAAATTAAATCAAAGAAAGTTAAAATTCACTTAAATTTAATTTCATTAAAAACTAGTTACTACATTTACGAACATAACAGAATCATCCATTCTTTTCCATAATCATCCCAGCGAAAAAAATTACATACCCTGCGCAGCAGCAAGCTGCAAACGTGCCTGCTCAGTTAGCAAAGTTGTCGGATCGTAAGACTGCTGCAGTGGCTGAGTTGTTTGAGGCAGCTGTGCAGCACCCAGTAAGAGACCCTGACTTTGCATCTGAGCTGCGAGAGCTGGTGTAATAAAATTCAATTGCTGTGGTTGTCCAAGTGCAGCGAGCTGATTCTGCACGTTAAGATTTTGCAAATTCCGGACCGCTAATGCTTGTGCCAGAGGATTCCGTAAATATAATGCACGATTTGCTGCAGCTGCTTGTTGAAGTGCAGCACCCTGCAATGCAGCAACCGCCAAACTAGCATCCACCATTCCTGGAAAAATAGACACAATCCGGATAAATTTATGCATATGATCATATTTTTCACTTCAAAAAAAAAACAAAAAACAAAAAAAAACAAACAAACGAGAGTGAAACAGTTTGAAAATCTATAATATAATAATAATTGATAATAATAATAAAATATATCAAAGTTAAGAGCAGCAAACTGTAAGCGCCGAAAACTATTTACGTAATCCATTCTGATCCTTTCTTTACATTTCTCACTACTCCTTTTTCTGCGTTCTTTCTTCTCTCTTCTCTGAAGTCTCTTTTGTTCCGCATGTAATGTTCTTTTCCCTTCCACGTTATTTTTTTTTTAAATGTCTAAATTGAAATTTCGTTCAAATTTCATATACGGCATTTTTTGGATACAAAAACGAAAATACGGGAAAAAGGAGAAAACATTTTGCAAATTATTCATGCACAGTAAAATGTGAGAGCATATACCATAAAAACTTTCAGCGTAACTTGACAAAACATGCGCAGGCGCCACAAGTGCAGCGCGTGAAAATAAACACTGTAAATTGACAAAACTGCAAAACATTCAGTACTTTTTTTCTATTCTGGATTTACACTTTGAACTTCTCTATACCTTAACTCAAAATGCGCGCTGCTCGTGCAGTTTGCTTGCACGTTAAAACGAATAGTGATAGAGGTAATAATAAAATAACATTAATAATAATGATAATGATAACGATAATGATAATGATAATAATAATTATAATAGTAATAGTTGTAAAGAAAAAACATACCTATCAGAAATAGCTGCCCTTACTTTTTAAGATAAATATATGTGGAATTTCAATAAGATTATTTGAAGCAACAACGCATAAAAAGTTCAACTGCATGCAATAAAAAAAGCACGGAGCCGGATGGCTGTTACAAAACCTGCATCTTTCTTTCATTTTTCATACTCTTTTAAAACTTGCATCGACCGTTTTACATGCAAATCAATTTGCATAATTTTTACTAAATTTCACCTGCATAACTAACTGGCGAGATTAATTAGTTATGCAAACCAAAATTTACTTCATGTGATTTTTCCTTTTTTTTCAATAGAAAAATGCAGATTATGCATGAAATTTTAAAAAACACCGAAAAAAAAGAAACAATATAAATTCTTTAAAAAAAAATTTAAAATTAGGAAATAGGTAACGTCACTTTCTTTCACACTCTAACTCTCGCTCTTTTGTTTTGAAAATAAGATAAAGATTTCGGCTCACCAGGTGCGACTTTCGGCTTCTTGGTGTGTATACGGGCAGTGGCGCAATTCACCTCAAAAAAGGCGACTATTAGGCAGTCGTCCGGAACAACTTCCATAGTCTTATTCTTTCATTTTTTTTTTTTTTTTGGTTTTGCTTGTGAGAAACATGCCAGAGAAACGTACGATGAAGAAAAAAAGTAAGCACCGCAAAAGAAACATCTGCCAAATATCAACAGATCTAAGAATATGGATTCATAGATTAATAATAAAAACATATTTCCCCATCGAAAATTTGCGAGATTTTAAGAAATTTAGAGAATCTTGATCAAATGTAAAAGTGTAGAGTGTAGCGTACGCATATATCTACAAAAAAGGGAACGTAAAAGTCGCCCAATATGATGATGGGGAAAAAAGCTTAGCATATATATATATATATATAAGTGTTTGATTTCTCCACACTTCAATGGGTAGCCATGCAAAGGATCAGGAAATTTTAAATGTAAAAAATCCGAGCGCGCAAGGATTAGTAATAGTCCGTTTAAAAAAATAAAAATACAGAAATGCAGTAGGATGCAAATTCTCTGTGTAAAGCAAACACAATTAGACGATCCCAAAAAATATGTGCACCCCCTACGGTGAATTTTCAATAACAATTATTAAGCGTCATGCTAAATAGAAAACATCGTTTCGATTCAAAGAATAGAACTAAACAAATACATTCACCATCACAGCTGCTCTCTTTAATTGGATTTTGGGATGTCCTAAACTACGAACATCTCGGTTTTTCAACACCAGACGCGCAGCTTTCTGGCTGAATTTAGCCACTCTAGATTTTATATACCTCAAATTTTACAGATTAAAAGCTTTTTGATAGAAAAGTTCACCATGCCTCTCACCTTTACTTTCGTTATCTTATTTTAAATATTACTCAGATATAACTAGAAAACCTAATTGTGTTCGTGGAAGATTTCCAGGATTTGGTCCTTCTTAGAACTTAAAGAGTTTAAGAGGACTACACCCTACCACAGGTTGGTTTTGTAAGATGGAGTAGGCTATAAACCTCAAAGAAAAAATATTCCGAGATCAAAAGTATTATGAAAATGACTTTTCATAGATAAGTGATTTACAGACATAATAAGGACCTAAAATGACCGAAAAAGTAGTAAAACATATAAAATGTCTTGATCTAAGAGCCAGAGTTGAGGACACTCTACAAAAGAGTTTCGGAAAGTTCATGCTCAGGTAGGACATATCTAGAAGCTCGAACTTTGTAACAGGCAAGTATTGCGGGATACACTAGGGAGACAGATAAATTAGCAACAGTATCGTACCCGGCAAAACTATACGTCCCGTAATAACCAAGACAGAGAGCAACCATAAGCGGATTTTTTAATGGCTTGGTTTGTAAATAACAAACAAGCAAACCTCAATTTTGCGACCCTCAACAGAAGAACCATGCAATTCTTGCCTAGCTTTCTCCGCATCTGCTGATTTCTCCATGGTCACGAAACCAAATCCCTGAAAAAAGAAAACTAGAAGCAGAACTACGTTTGCTTCATCCAAAAATCCTGAGCACGTAGAAAAATCATACATTAACTATTAGAATCATACATTAATCATACATTAACTATTAGAATAGACTTTTCTTCATTAATCGTTATAATAAAAATCCACAATTACCTTACTACCACGTTCATTAAATATTATTTCAACATCAGTTACAGGCCCATATTTCTCAAACATTGCCCTTAAGTCAGGATCACGGAATCGGAACGGTATGTTTGATACATGCAATCGTTTGGGAGCGCTATCAACAGAATTTGACGATGTTGATGGATCTGGTGTCGTTAAAGCATTTGGCGCAGCCGGTTGCGACTGGACCTAAAACAAATTTGAAACACTTAGAAACGAAAGGCTGTGGCTCCATTTTGCAAATGAACAGATTGTTGGATAATTCGTGTTCCAGCATGAGAATTACAGCTTTGCTCATTTAAAATATGTCAAAATTTGTAAAATTTCAACGAACTGTAGAAGGTGGTGGCATCTGTGGACCAATCCCTGCAACTGCAGCCATTTGCATTTGTACTTGGAGATCGTACTGCTCTCGTGCCAATTTTTCATCTTGTTTCTCGCTTTCCGCATTTGAAACAACTGTACCAACTACTGGTGCCGTAAGCAAACCACTCGACTGATGCATTGCAGCTGCTGCAAATTAACTTCCCTTGTTCCAAATATTCAGTTGGAAAAAGAAACATTAATTGGTGGATCAACGTATGATTACAACAGCAGTATGAAGATATTTATGTCATTGCTTCGTCGTCGTGGTACTTTCAGATCATTTCCTCACTGGTTGTAATATATTATTTATGGATACTGACTGCTTAATATTCAAAGATAAAAGACCAATTTGGAGTAATCTGGAAGATACATTAGAAACTTCAAGTAACAATTTTCATCTGCAAAATACAAACGATTATCCTCAAAACTATTTTCAACCCGTGGAACTATGCTCGATCTTTACTTCCTAATCAAAAACCATCGAAGCAATTTCGGAAAATCATTTTATGAAACCTTTCAATACTTTATAAATATATGGATACCTGCAGAAGCTGCAGCAAGCTGCTGTTGCTGAGCTACTTGAATTTGTTGCAAAAGTGCGGGAGGAACGCCTGCCTGCATAAGTTGCTTCATGGCCGCAAGATTAACAGGTGGCTGTCCGGGACTCTGGAACGCCTGTGGTGCTGTATTGGCCGATAATTGATATAAGGCTTGCATAATCTGCAATCAAAGGAGGGAATTTCCCACAGGAAAAAGTATGGATGATATTCAACGTAACACACTAACATTTTAATAATTTTGAAAATTAAGCCTCGATAGACATCAGAGAATAACTAGTATTAACTTAACCTAACCTGATTTTTAAGAATATACAACGACTGTCTTTACGCTTGAAATTTGTCTCTATTGCAGACATATGAGTTATAACAGTATCACACATATTGCATAACACATCTGTAGCATGCAATGTGTGATGGTTGCATGAGCAAGAAGTACAGAATGTTAGGTGTTTAAGAAGAGTTGGAAAACTCCGCACCTGCAGTGCAATTCCTGATTCGAATTATGCATTCATCAAATGATTCATCAAAAAATTCACAAATCTGATGTTTGCCAAAGTGTAATAATAAACGACGAAAAAAAATAGGATAATCAGAGCAAAAGAAAACATGGAAATTTACAAACGGAAGATGTTGTCAGACGATCTTTGAACAATACAGTCAGAATAAAAAACGATGTTGCATGACCTATTCAAAAAGATGAACTACGATGATTCTAAATGTATAAACTGCATTAATTCATTTGCTCGTTATCTGTAAGATATTAATTTATAAAGACTGATTAATCCTATCATTTAACGTTGCATTTTCTCAGGTAATGTGGGGTTTTCGATCCCATTTCTTAATATCTCAGCAAAAGACAAAACCAGAAATTTTTTTAAATTCAACTTAAAAAAATTCAAATCAAATTTAAATTGCCATCAATACGTCAATTAAAAATTAAGAAACCGAAGTCACTTTAAATTTCAAAAAATTTTGAATAACCCAGAGCGCAAGCCGGTCAGTGAAATCGCTGAATGCTGCGATAACTATCGATCGATAGGATCCATCACGGCGCATTTCATTGCAGTGGTCGCTTGTTGAGGTACAACTATCGATCGGTAAAATTCATTTAATACCGTCCAATTAATAATAAACCATCTCATATATAATAAAATCACAATGGTTATCTGTCATCAACACCCCACTACCGGAAAATCCGAAAAACCAGCCACCAGAAGAGTCCAAAACAACCGTTTACCGGAATGCCCCTGACTAAACCAAGTGGCGCGACAAAATCATATTCACACAATGTCGGTAAATCACAGACTCCGTGTGAAACTTGAAAATCCTACGTTAACTAAGATGGGAACATACGATGCGGATTGATCCGGATGACGCTCTTTTATGTATAACTATTTAAATTTTAAAAATTTGAAGACCTCAATTAATTTAAGTGAAAAAATTTACTATCAAATACTCCCACTTCCCCGCCCCCTTAAAGAAAACGAACTGTTTCAAATGAAATGTTCAAATGATTGAAAATTATTCATCAAGAAATCCACGTGAAAAGAAAAAAACCTACTCAATCAACATCAATAAAATAAGTGGGGTGATTTTACGTGATATTACAAATGCTAGCAATCATTTGAAGATCAATAAGCTAAATAATTTAATGAGCATTTGACGACAGATTTATATTGCTGAAACCGAGAGAAAAAAAAAGAGATAAAGACAGAAAGGATCATAAAACTTTAACAAAAATGTGATGAAAGAGGAGAAATACGTACGGTTCATTAAGACGAGATATTCCAAGAATAAGATCAATATATTACACTCATAACGTAGATCAATAAACTTATCATTTTATCTTCCAAAAGTTAATCATTTCCTTTTGCCCACTTCAATACTGGCAATTAATTGAATAAAAATCTTCCCATGTCCTAATTTCCCTTATCTTAACTCTTTAATCACGTAAACAGAAATACATGTCTAATTTAATATACTGACATTTATCTTATTGATAAAATCAAAGAAATGAATAATTTGCAATATGCATAATATTTCAAATTATTTTACATTTTTCTAACAAATGTTATTGTTCTAAAAATATAAAAATATAATAATTAAGAGTAACATTAAAAGATTACAACAATAGAATGTAAAAAATTATTTATCAAATAATAAATAAAAGATAGAGATTAAGAGATAAAGGTAACGGGAAAGAGAGACAGAAAAAGGAAAAAGTGAGAAGAAAAAGAAAAGACAGTTTTTTTTGTATTTTCTCTTTTTGAAACAGTAATGTTATATATGTATATATATATAAGTTGTATTTTGTAAGTACTTTGTTGATTTACCTGAAAATATGTGTGTGTGTGTGTGTATGTGTGTGTGTATGT